GGGAGGATCCCCCTGTGTGTGCTCTGTGTTTTCTCACACCCTGCTCCTGGCCACTGTCCCCAGCTCAGGCAGCTGCTCCTGTGCTGTGGAATCAGAGAATCACAGAATCATGGAATATCCTGAGCTGGAAAAGACCCACAAGGAGTCCAGCCGCTGTCCCTGCCCAGACCCACCAACAATCCCCCTGCGCACCCCTGGAGCGCTGTCCAAAGGCTCCTGGAGCTCTGAGAGCCTCGGTGCCCGTTCCCTGGGCAGTGCCAGCACCTCTGGGGATGAACCTCTCCCCAGTGTTAATGTCCTTCACATCACTCCTGCTGCAGCTGCCCATCTCCTGCATCCTGCAGGACTCCCTGGGCCGGGCAGGGGGGCCTGACCAGCACTGGATGGCCCAGCACCAGCAGCTCTGCCCACCCCAGGACCCACAGACACCCCTCACCTGGCTCTGCCCTCTCCATGAGCAGGGTGCTCTTTGACAAAGCCCAGGCACCCTGGGGCCTGCCAATGGCATGGTGTGTGATGGAGCGCCAGGAGCAGTGTCCAGCCTGTGTCCAGCCCCTGCCTGTGGCTCTGGCAAACCCTCAGCCACATGTGAGATCCAGGACAATAAAGGAAAAATCAATCAAAGGAAAAATCGAGGGAAAAAAATATGTGTGGCAGCTAAATATCAAGGGATTAAGTTTCCAGCCTTTCTTTACGGGGAAAAATCCAACATTTATAAAGCTGGGAAATAAGAAAATGGATCAAGCTAGTGTTGATGTCAAAGAGGGATTCAGTTGAGAATAGACTTGAAGGGCATTTTATTTATGGTGCAGCTACTGGGTGGGCATCTGTGACCTTTAGAAAATGGATTAAAGCCTTTCTGTACCCAGCTCCAGGCTGTGTGAATTATTAAAGCAACAAAATCCTGAAGTTGAAGTACTTGTACGAAGCAACCCACACATAGCCAGGGACCCTGGGAGGGTCAGTGTGGAGCTGGGCACAGGGACCAGGACCCCCAGGCCCCTCTGGAGCCAGCTGAGAGCCCCCACGGGCCTCCAGCACCTGCCCCAGGTATACTGGTTCCTTCTGGAATATTCCATTTCCTGCTGCTGCTCATTCCAGCCCCATCCCTGGTTTAATCCCTAATTTCCAATGACACACAAAGGCGCAAATCCATGCTGAAAAACTTCAGATGTGCTTGTATTTCTTCACAGCAGTGAAGTGTAAATAATGAATTCCCACAGCCCCATCCAGCTCCTTATCCCTTGGAAAAAGCAGCTGGGGCTGGGGCTGCAGAAGCAGGAGGGAAGCCCAGGTGGGAGGAGGAGTTCAGGAGCAAACACCCCCAGCTGCCTCTCAGGGACTGAAGCCAGGAGAGGCCAAATTAACAGGCAGAGGTCCTGGTCCTGCAATGCCACCACTGCCTTCAGAGATTGCTGGGTCTCATCCTGTCTCTCGTGAAGCACAGTGAACCTCAGAGCACATTTCCCACTAAAACAGGGCCACAAACTGCACCCCATTCTAGAAACCCTCTCCTGGCTGCTGCTCCTTGGGAAATGGCATCAGAGCAGCCAAAAGCTGAGCAACTCCTGCTGCTGCTGCTTGGAAAACAGGAGCAACACAATGCTGATATTAAATCACTGAAAATCAGATACTATCACCCCTACTATGTGTGGAAAATATTACACACTTGCTAATTGGAGTAAACATGGAATTGAACCTGACCTTCATTTGATTAATTGTACCTTAAAGCTGATTAAGCTCATCTCTAGAAAACAGAAATTGGACATTTATTGCAGATACACCAGAGCCACAGCTCTGGGGCTCTCAGGCTCTTCTAAGGGATTTCTGAACTACTTTTTCCTTCCTTTTCTACGGTTCCCACACGAGGACGTCACAGTCTGTCCTGAGAGCTGCACAAAGTGACCGTGGAAGGAAATGCTGTGCCCAGAGTGCCCAAGGCCACCCCAGGCGCTGCTCCCACGTCCTGTCACCATGGGATCACACAACTGGGGTCACAGCTGGGGTCACACAGCTGGGGTCACACAGCTGGGGTCACAGCTGAGGTCACACAGCTGGGATCACACAGCTGGGATCACACAGCTGGGGTCACAGCTGGGATCACACAGCTGGGGTCACACAGCTGGGGTCACACAGCCGGGGTCACACAGCTGGGATCACACAGCTGGGATCACACAGCTGGGGTCACAGCTGGGGTCACACAGCTGGGGTCACACAGCTGGGGTCACAGCTGAGGTCACACAGCTGGGATCACACAGCTGGGATCACACAGCTGGGGTCACACAGCTGGGGTCACAGCTGGGATCACACAGCTGGGATCACACAGCTGGGGTCACACAGCTGGGGTCACAGCTGGGGTCACACAGCCAGGGTCACAGCTGAGGTCACACAGCTGGGGTCACAGCTGGGGTCACAGCTGGGGTCACAGCTGGGATCACACAGCTGGGATCACACAGCTGGGATCACACAGCTGGGGTCACACAGCCGGGGTCACACAGCTGGGATCACACAGCTGGGGTCACAGCTGGGATCACACAGCTGGGGTCACAGCTCCCACTGAGGGTCTACTCAGACACTGGCTCCTAAATATCCTCCTGAACGTGGGCAGAGAGTAGTTAAATCAAGCAAAGCAACAAAGTCACTCCTAAATTTTTAATGGCACTTGCCAGGAAGGTAGTTTTATGTTTTCTGTAATTAAATGTGAGTTGTAAATTACTTGTAAACGCAAAAAGCTTTTCTCAGCATCAGAGGAAATTCAGCATATTGACATAAGCATCCAGAAAGATGACAGATGAATCATTTCAGCATTTTGTTGAAAGTGTGTGTACAGTTCTGATGCCTGATAGACTGCCACATGCTAGACTTAACCTTTCTGCAATGCAAAATGCAGAGTGAGCAGCCACAGGGAGCAGCCACAAGGAACAGCTCTCTTCAAAGCCAAGAGTCCTGCCCTGGGACAAGAATTGGTTTTTCTCTGTTTCATGTTCTGAGCAGAATTAATTTTCTGGGTGCTGCTCCTTAAAAGAATAAAACCTCCTTCTCTGGAAAGTTTATATTTGAAGTATGAATCTTCTCCTATCAGCTTGAAACAAAAACGTGAGCTGCTCTTTTCCACTAAGGTTTTGAGTTAGTGGTTGGTCTTTGATTGTGAGCTGAAGACACAAGACCCTGAGTATTCCTGTTCTCACCAGGAGTGTCTGGGGAGACTCCCTTCTGCTGTTTGCCTCATCCTCATACACAAGGACTGAGCTGGTATTTAACCATTCACCATCATTCAACAGGAGCCCAGAAATCTGACAGAGCTCTGCTGCAAGCTTTCACCTCTCCTTGCTCAAGGGATGTGGCTGCAGAGAGGGGTGAGTGTTCCAAACCACCCCCTCAAACCGTCACAGTGACTTGCACACTGCTGGCAATCCATTTTCATCAGCCCTGGAAGTCCCAGGCAGACTTTCATGGAAGCCCAGCAGGAATTCACGTGGGTGGGCTGTGCCAGAGCAGGGTAATCGATCTCCTGGTGTTCATCAGGAAACTGAGGCTGTATGGAAACATCTTCTCCAGAAAGGAGCACTGATGGCAGCTCTGGGACTGGGCTCCCCTCTCCTGCCTCTCAGAACAGCTGCACCCTCCCCATGCAGACCGCGGCTGACTTTGTGCTGCTGCCGTTATTCAGCACCAGAACTGCTTCATACACATAAAGTATCCTAAAAGAGATTTTCAGTAACTGGTAAAAAATTGTGTTCTGACCAAACAGGTCTCAGATCTCCTGGGAAATTTCTGCTTTTGCAAAGTTTCCATCTTCCAGCTGTCCAAGTACAGCAGGTCAGGCTGCTCCCAGGGCCGTGGCCCAGTGGAACAAGACCTCGTCAGGCTTTACCACAGAGGGAGAAGGCAAAGGACAGTGTGGGTCATCTCCAGAGCCAGATCTGGATTCCTCACCCTCACAGCATCAGCTTTTGATCAGAGTATGATGGGAGAAAGCAGCCAGGACGAGCTGACCGGGGGGAAGGTGAGCAGGCACCCAGCTGTGCCGCGTGTGGCACCGGTGCGTGGGGACGCTTGTGATGCCCTCTGAGCCAGGCTGGGCGCTTGCACAGCTTTGGCACTGCACATTTCACACGATTTCCAAGGCCCTTCTCCAAAGCCCCAGTGCTGGCACACGGCCCCAGCCTGCACAAGAGGCCCCTGAGCAGGTGACAGAAGCGCAGCAGCCCGGAGGTCACTGCCCACGGCAGCTGCCAGCCCCAGCGCACACGGGGACTCACCTGGCGGCACAGAGCCACCTCTGCTGCTGGCTCACTGCACAACACGGGTGACACAAGGGCTGCAGAGCTCCCAGTGCAGCCCTGGGCTCGTGCACATCCCCTGAACGCCGTGCTGGCACCGCCAGGACAGGGGGCAAACACCCAGAGCCACCTGCACAGGGACGGAGGGAGAGCCGGAGACGCGGGGAATGGAAAACGACTGACACCAGGGAAGCAACCAGTAAGCGACTCCCAGAGATGCACAGCTCTTTGATCATCACCTCCCACATCCTCCTACATGCTTGGCAAGAAAAACCAGTTAAAAATAAACAACAAAACCTCTTCAGCATAACTGATTCCTGATTGGGAAAACAGCCCAGGACTTCACAGAACTCCTCTGACCAGAGTGGCAGCTCAGTCAATCACCAAGGACAACTTCCAGCACCTTCCCGCCTCACTGTGCCCCCCACAACCCAGACATCCCCACAGGAAACTGAAAACATAAAGAATGTTTGCTGTAAAACGGTCACAATTGTGCTGGTAATTTACAACACATCTGTTGCACCAAGATGCCAAGAATTAAAGCAATGCCAAATGGCAACAAGGTATTTTCCTGAACATTTTTCCTGTGTTGACTGAGCAGCCATCGTAGAAAAATACAAAAATAGCCAATGTTGGCCCCGTTACTGTTCCAATAAACCACAAGTACATAACAGCAGACACCTGATAAACCATGCAAGACTGAGAGCTCGAGCCTACCTTGCCAAAGCTTCCCTTCCCAATCGCCCGGAGAATCTGGAAGTGGTCAAAGTTCACTACAAGGTAAAGAAAAAAGGATTTACATTTGTGAATGCTTCACTACAAATAAGCTTGCATTTAAAAGAAGACGGGGAAACAACTACAGAGCATTGGCCAAGCTTTTACTAGAAGTTTTCCTCTGGGGAAGCTGCAGGACAGCAGCTGCTTTCCTTTCAAGTCTCTTTTCGCGTGTTTGAGGGGGCTGGCAGAGGTGGGATGAGGTTACAAAATGAGGGGTTTAGCACAGGTTAAAATACAGCTTCGGCCTCTGTGGATCCAGGGGGAGCTTCCCAGAGCTCAGAGGCCAACTGTGAGTGTGGCAGAGGGGGAGTGTGGGGAGAGCCCTGCCCCACAAACACTGCCCCACAGTCCCTGCCCCACAAACACTGCCCCACAAACACTGTCCCAGCCCCACAAACACTGTCCCTGCCCCACACTGTCCCTGCCCCACAGACACTGCCCCACAAACACTGTCCCTGCCCCACAGACACTGCCCCACAAACACT